ACTTAAAACCAGCCTAATTAAAAATAACTTTATACACACACACACACATATATATATATATATATATATATATATATATATATATATATATATATATATATATATATATATATATATATATATATATATATATATATATATATATATATATATGTGTGTGTGTGTGTGTGTGTGTGTGTGTGTGTGTGTGTGTGTGCGCGACTGTGTTCCATATTATATATATATATATATATATATATATATATATATATATATATATATATATATATATATATATATATATATATATATATATATATATATAGATAGATATATATATATATATATATATATATATATATATATATATATATATATATATATATATTATACATAGTTACAAACTCGAGCACACATACATAGAGGAGGGATTGTAAAGAGTTATGTAATAAATTTGTAGAATTAATAAGCGAGTTGAGATTTTGTTAATTTTTTGTGTCGAAACTAAATGGAAATTTTCTTCTTCAAGCAATAGCCGTAGGTAGTTGACCAGAGATCTTTATATGCTCAATGTGTACAACTATGCGCCCAATGAATTACTTGTCCAAACAGAAAAAAAATGCGACACAGACATAAGGTCTTTAAAAAATCCGTATCTAAATTCCAAAGCTCTATTTAATGTAGAAAAAAAAATGTAATAATGTGGAGTTTTTGTTTGGATACATTTTTCAATATATAAAAACCCTAGAAAAAAAATGAATTGTAAGATTTCTCTGTCATTTCGTTCTTCAAGATGATGTTTCAGAATGACAGAGAAAAATTATTTTTTTCGCGAGCTTTGGCAGAAAGATGCTTATGGCCACAAAAAAAAACATATATTTGCCGTTTTTTTTCTTTAAATACTTGACAAAGAGCTGTTTCTGTCCATGGAGATAAGAACAGCAATGCAAAAACACATGACATCGAATGTAAATAAAATAAAAATTGATCTTTTAAGGGCAGAAGAGGAATTTTGTTTGTTTTAATTTGTTTTTTAAATTGAATTTTTTTTTTAAACTCGATAAAATAAAGACGTATCTGTAAACCGAAATTTAATTCTGACAAAATGCCAGAGGTTTTTTTTTTCACATTCGGTATTTACACTCGGCTACACATAGGGTATGACAAACTTAATTAGCCGAACCATTATATTCGTATCTAGTCCATGTTTTTAGATCAACTGCTAGCGCTTTGTTTTGGGTGGGGGCTGGGATTTAGTATTAAGTTTACGTTTCGGCTTAGAGTAATGGTTAGGTTCGTGTTTAGGGCTAGGCGGTGGGGATGAGATAACGTCAGTGTGTTGGGTGTAATCAATAATGACTGATTCTTCTAGGAAGATCTTGTATAGGAAGTTACTCTTTTGGGGGCGGGTTAGGTGGGGGGGGGGGGGGGTTGACTGTAAATAATTAGTGAGTTGTTTTGGGTGACCTTTTGAAAACTTGACCTGCTAGTTTTATATAAAGAATTTTATTTTAATCATGACTAGCTTTAGAATTCATAGTTCAATAAAGTATTAATTGAACAAAATACTAAAGACATAAAAAAGAATTTAGGTAAGATTTTTAATGTTGATAAATTACTAATTAAACAAAAAGGTCATATAATAAATGGGAACCTGTGCTTATGACTGTGGCACACATTAATTAGCGTGTCACCAATCAACAAATAATTGAATACGGGCTGACAGGTGATCGATAATTGCAGTAAATCAAAATAACTAATTGTTGCGACATAGTGGGGAAGCGGACATTGCGTGAGTTGCAGCACATTTTGGTGCAGCAAGGTGGCAGGCTTAACAATTTAGGTCGCCAGACAAAAACCCCTAGACATCCCGCCATCCCCCCCCCCCCCTGGACACATCCACCGACACGACCCCCTGGGCCAAATAAAACACGTACAAGTGCGCATAACGCCATATAAATAAATAGATAATTGTTTAGTAAAAAAACATATTTAAAAATCCATGCATTTAGTGGTCGCGCCGCTACAATTTTAGCTGATGTACAAAAAAACCAGTGGCGAAAGTAATGACAAGCAAAAATTGTATTTAAAATTAATGCTTAAACTCACTTCCATTGAAGTCACTGTCTGTTTTGACTTCTCTAAATTTCAAACGAGATGTATGTCCACTGGATCTTTAACCCACAGCCTATTAAGTTTTAGCAATACTTTACATTGGATTTAAAATACAACACATACCACCCTTCACAGCACTAGCGAGGGGGGGGGGAGGGGGGGCGGGGGGGGACATATGTCCCCCGCGCCGACCTTAGGGGCGCCAAAACGGGTTGGAAAAATAAATTGAAAGGTTGAGGGGGGTGCACATCGAAAGTTTGAGGGGGGGGTGCACATGGAAATCTCGAGGGGGGTGCAAATCGAAAAGTTTGTCCCCGGGCGCCGGGAAGGGTCGCTACGCCTCTGCTTCACAGATAACTTCATCCACCCGCAACCTACTTTTCAGATCCTGTAACAGATAGTGCACTGATGGATGAAAGTAACAAAATATAAAAATATATAAATTTGTTACATCATTAAGTAAACAATATGGGTATTTTCAAGAAGAGAAAGTTTATGATTATGAACATTTTGCATTACATTTTTGTAGATAATTTTAAAACAAGTACATTATGTTTTTATAACTTCCCTCTAAAAAGAAAATGAGGCACGCGTTGGAATTATCAGTTGATGCGTTAATCCAATCAATAATAAGAGGATTTAGGCTTGAAATAATACCTCTCAATTAGCTGTTTCTATAGCTGCTGCCAGCATACAAAAAATGTTCTAAATTAGATAATCGCCATATAATTTTATTTGTGCTTAATACACTAATATTCATATCATAGGATTTAACCTAATTTACATTTTTAATTCTAAATAACGAGTGAACAGCTTTGTAAAACACCGCAATATCAAACTCAAATATTAAAAAAATATGCATAGCAATTTTGCTGTATCATTTGATCACAAAGAGTGTTTACAAAATGTATTTATTTTTAATTGTAATATACGGTTAATGTCTACTCTGGTTCAGTTGTGATTAGTTTCGTGTTTTGAAGTTAAATACGTTGGATAAATGAAGATAGATGGTTTGTTTATCCGTGAGTGTTGTGTGTAAATTTTATATCAGTGTGTTTTGTTGGTAAACTGCAAACTGCTTTATTTAATATCTGTATGTTTTGTATGTAAACTGCGAACTGTTTTATTCCCCAGGATGAGAAGAACCAGGTGCTAACGACGAACATTTGGCTGGACCAGGTGAGAGGATATTGACCAGTCTAATTGGCTGGCATCTACGTGTGGTTTGTGTCTGCACGGTATGCCTGGGCTTCGGGTGGGACGGGCAGTGTTTCTTCTAGAATTTTTTCTCCCGGGGGTTGGGGGCTGAAATTTTCGGAGGGGGCGGACTAAAATTTCCGGGGGGGGGGGGGGGGGGCACTGGTAAAAGTATATTATGGTAAAGGTATACATTTTCTGTATGAATTCCATTTCATTCAGGGGGAGGGGGGAGTGGTTGTGTGTAGGGGTAGAGGGGTCGTGCGCTACACCATAGCTTGATAAGGTGAAGATAGGAGGGTGTCAAGCTTCAAACGTTTTGGAAGAGGCTTTCATGTACACTACTCAAAGACTTAGTGAAGGGTTGGGTCATGTAGACTACATAAAGACTTTAAGGGTTGGGAGATTATGACAACTACCCGAAGAATTAGAAGGGTAGAGGGGATAATGAAGAATATCTAAAGCAATAAGGAGTGTTATGTAGATTCACTAAAGCTTTTTTTGGAAGATAAATTGGATGTGGAACATAGACTAAATGATGGCTTAAAATGTCTGTACTGAGGTACCTGCAACAACACTAGATAGTTGCGTTTGTCTCATTGTGTTAAAGAACTAAATCGTGGGTCGTAGTTGGAAGTGAACCTAACATTTTTGTAACTATTTCTAGCATTGCGCCCCGTCATTTCAACACATTTTATATAATTGGCTGGACGATATCTATGCAGGATCTGTATTGGTTAATTCTGATATGTTTTAGTGAGGGAATTCAGTTCAATTAGCTGTGTACTCTTTTATCACTCACTAGTTCTCTGATTGTTTTTCTATTAAAATTTACACATTATTACAAGTACTATGATGTAAATGCAGAATAAATTATTCATCGTTTTAGTTTCTAAGCTCCAGTAACAAAACAAGCTTCCCTTAATTAACACGGAGACATGGCTCAAAAATATTAAACTGGTGGTGTGGCCGAGTGATGAAGCATTGGATTACAATTACAAACTCAGCTCTAACCAGTACCAAACCTTGATTAGGCAAAGTGACCGTGGTGTGTGCATATTGTTGATGATACATCATTGAAGTTACTGAAATACATGAATTCCTCCCCGTGTTCATATTTAAAAAGTAATTTAGTACACAAAAATTGTACGGAAATAGTTTGATATGTTTACTGTTTAATTATAACACAAGTGGTCTACCTCATCGAAATATAACACTAGTGTCCTACCTCGTCAATATATAACAGTGGCTTACCTCATCGAAATATAACTCAAGCGGCCTCCATCACCGATAAATATTTCGATACCCTTATGCACTGAGAACTAAATCCAACACTCTCGGAGTAATTTGTTTTTTAATCAGCTGGGAATGGAAACGAAATTTGACAGTTTGTCTAGAGAGTATCGACTTACCACGACACGAATGTCTAGCAAATAAAGTATAGTGTCAGTGTATGTGTGGGTGTGTGTGGGGGGGGGGGGTAGTAGTTGCATAACTAAAAGTTTGCAATGCATTATTGCATATAAAATAGTCTTTGGTTTCGATAAACTTAAACATAAAATGTATTTTCTGGTAAGCCACAGTTTATTTTCTATGCCTACAGATTTGATATAGATTGTGGTTATCCCTTTCAATCCACTATCATGTAACAATTTTGAAATGTCCATAACCGTCCACCTCTATGTAATAAAATGTATAATCTGGTCATAGTTTCAATAAGGCTTACCTACACTTGATCAGTCTTCTTCTTCTTCTTCGTTCTTAATTTTTAGCGTTGGAAGGGATCTAGCTTTTGCCGACTCGACCACGCCTCCATCACAATTAAGTATGCGTGTCAACTGGTTATGCACCATTGAGGCCATTGACTCTGATTTTAGCCTGCTTTTCTTTTTGGTTTACTTCCATAGCCTTTGTCTAACCAAGAACAATATACAAGGCAGCAGTTGTTTGATTTTGGAGTTGTCTCTCCTAGAAGAGTTGCTGTCCCCAGCCTCATCTGCCCGGGGGTTCGAACTCGAGACTTTTCGGTTCAGCAACCATGAGCTTTACCGACTCGAACAGGCCGACCCCACTTGATAAGTCTACTCAGATCATTTGTGTAAGACCTAAACAAACTTGCTCAATCTTCACAAACCATTTCTGTAAGGCTTAACCAAACAATGTCTTTCGATTGGTTAGAACTTCAAGCACTGAGCAGTACACGGCCTGTGTACACTAATCCCAAGAGGACATCACAGACACCTGCTTGACCCTGTATATCAGCAAAAGTCTGTCGCGTGCTGGCCGATGTATGACAGTGATGTCTTGTCTTGTACCGGGGGAATGGATCAGTACATTGTTCGATTTGTAGAGGATTAGTTTTTGTTTTCACACTCGCAGGCTCACCCTTCATCTCTCTATTTCCTTTGACTCCCACAACACTCTACATTGGCAATGTATGACAGTGATATCTTCTCATGTACCAGAGGGAATTGATCAGTACATTGTTCGATTTGTCGAGAATTAGTTTTTGTTGTCACACTCGCAGGCTCTCCCTTCATCTCTCTATTTCCTTACTGCATTGGGGGAGGTGGCAAATTTGTGAATTAATTTGGATTATGTTCTTGAATTATTGAAGAAGTTGATTAACTTAATTAAAGTAGGATTTATTTTGGTTTATTAAGTTTATTGGCTACTGGATGTTAAGTGCTGTAGTGATTGCTTGAGAATTCAGTAAGGATAAATTTCACCTTTTTTTCTTCACTGGAGCTTGGAGCTTAAATTTTTTTTAAAAAGTATTCGTTGTAGTTTAAACACATCGTAGCTACAGAATCTGGATGGACATATTGTAATTTAACAATCTAGATGAAGAAAGTTGGATAGACCTTTAGTAATTTAATAAACACATTCTAGATGGAGAAAGTAGGGTGGGTCTATTGTAATGTAAACAACAATCTAGATGGAGAAAGTTGGGTGGACCTATTTTACAAGTAAACACAACAGTCTACTCAATTGCTGTCTATAAAAACCTATGTTATATCCCCAACACTAACCCTTGGTAATTAATCAGTCTAATTCTACCGTCATTTCTCTGATGCATAGTGTATAGCAACATGCACTTAAACTCTAATCTACAGACAAACAATCTCGAAGTTAGCGAATCACTCGCATCTGCATAGCTAAATTTATTTTGTGACCATCACATTTTTACACTGTCCAGTTTAACAGTACATAATACCAGTGGCGTAGCGAGGTCGGGTGTCACCCGGTGCGGCACTTAATAGTGTCACCCCCTCAGAGGCGCAGCGACTCTTCCCGGGGACAAACTTTCAATTTTCGATTTGCATCCCCCCCCCTCAAACTTTCGATTTGCACCCCCCCCCCCCCTTCAAATTTTTCTTTATATATTTTACTATTTTTTGCCTTGGTGTCACCCCCCTAAATGGTGTCACCCGGTGCGGTCCGCACCCCCCGCCCCCCCCCCCCCCTCACTACGCCTCTGCATAATACTGAGTAATAGAAGATAATAAAATGTAAGCCAAGACAAGCAGACCAACACAGAATATCTATAGGGTCAGATTCTAATGGATCAATACGCCATGTCTGAACTATCTATCGAACTACTTTCTTAACGGCGTCTCCCTTGTCTAAACACCGTCTCGTCATTTTTTTTTTACATTTTCATTATCTTTGGGCCGAGATAATTAAGCATTACATCACCGCCAGTAATGGGATGTACTCAACTGCCGCTGACTGTGATTAAGTCCTCAATGGGCTGTGGATTGTGGTCAAACGGGAGGTGTTGGTAGGACAAGTGGGAGGTGTGGGTAGGACAAGTGGGAGGTGTGGGTAGGACAAGTGGGAGGTGTGGGTAGGACAAGTGGGAGGTGTGGGTAGGACAAGTGGGAGGTGTGGGTAGGACAAGTGGGAGGTGTGGGTAATACAAGTGGGAGGTGTGGGTAGGACAAGTGGGAGGTGTGGGTAGGACAAGTGGGAGGTGTGGGTAGGACAAGTGGGAGGTGTGGGTAGGACAAGTGGGAGGTGTGGGTAGGACAAGTGAGAGGTGTGGGTAGGGCAAGTGGGAGGTGTGGGTAGGACAAGTGGGAGGTGTGGGTAGGACAAGTGGGAAGTGTGGGTAGGACAAGTGGGAGGTGTGGGTAGGACAAGTGGGAGGTGTGGGTAGGACAAGTGGGAGGTGTGGGTAGGACAAGTGGGAGGTGTGGGTAGGACAAGTGGGAGGTGTGGGTAGGACAAGTGGGAGGTGTGGGTAGGACAAGTGGGAGGTGTGGGTAGGACAAGTGGGAGGTGTGGGTAGGACAAGTGGGAGGTGTGGGTAGGACAAGTGGGAGGTGTGGGTAGGACAAGTGGGAGGTGTGGGTAGGACAAGTGGGAGGTGTGGGTAGGACAAGTGGAAGGTGTGGGTAGGACAAATAGAATAGGTTGGTTGTCACGTCTTACAGGTCTGGAAATGCTTAGAGCGAGCTCTCGAAATGAAGCACATTGATGTATGTAGTGAACGAGAGAAGGGGGTGAAAGTTATTGTTACTTGGTACCCTATCCCGTTCGTCCTTGTTCAGTTCTCGTACCGTGAGTTGTAATAGTCCGGTTTGTACCAGTTTATGAAAGGGTTTTGTGTTTAGAATAGACTGTGTTAGGTGTAGATAGTGTAGATATTATTAAATGCTTTTAGTTCCAACGAGCCTTTGTTTCATTCAGTCTTGTTTTGTTACCCGGTTGGGGTTGTTTGTCTTATATGTTGCGCTACGCATCGGATCACCCGAAAGGCATGTCCGTGTGTTCACAATAGTATATATATATATATATATATATATATATATATATATATATATATATATATATAGAGAGAGAGAGAGAGAGAGAGAGAGAGAGAGAGATAAGTATATACCATGCACCGTATGTTATTGAAAGAGAGGGAAGCAGAGAGCCAGACTGGAAGATAGAGAGAGTGAAGCAGAGAGCCAAACTGGAAGATAGAGAGAGGGAAGCAGAGAGCCAAACTGGAAGATAGAGAGAGGGCAGCAGAGAGCCAAACTGGAAGATAGAGAGAGGGAAGCAGAGAGCCAAACTGGAAGATAGAGAGAGGGCAGCAGAGAGCCAAACTGGAAGATAGAGAGAGGGAAGCAGAGAGCCAAACTGGAAGATAGAGAGAGGGAAGCAGAGAGCCAGGTTGGAAGATAGAGAGAGGGAAGCAGAGAGCCAGGTTGGACGACAGAGAGAGGCCAGAAGAGAGTAAAATGCCAGTTAATCGAATCGATCCGCCTCCCTCACACACCACGCTTTAAGTGTTTGTTTACATCACGTGATCACGGTTGTGTCAACACGGTCAGGGAGTTATAAATACCCGGGAAAGAGGCCGACCTTGACCCATGCCACTTTTGAACCCGATGGGTATCCTCCCATGAATACATTCACAAATATTTCCACCTTCTTCAAAGTTTGATTTGCAACAAAAACTAATAAAACTAGAACAATCTTTGGCAGTGATAAGAAGTGCGTAGAAAACTTGTGTGTATGTAGACAATAACCGTGAAAAAACGTTCGATTTTCGATAAATGTGCATAATATCTCCATCAGGATCTTATCTTCCTTGGTCACGGGGAATTTAAAGCTCTAACCACCATCGCCAAGATGGATAACCATTAGGACAGGGGAGATAACTTTCGTGTGGTGGCCATTCAAAAATGTTGGCACCTGTCCAGTCACAAGATATGTCTTGCTAGCCCGGAGTCCAAACGCTGATGTCAGACTGACATAATCATATGGGGAATCTTATGTCTGTTTGTTTGACATACAATCAGCAGTGTCTTTCAAGAGGAGAAGAGGACCATAGATGTAAGCAAGACAGGTACAGATTCTAATCGAAGTGCTAGTCACAATTTTACCGGCAATGTATGAAAAGTCGTTATTCATACATATATATATATATATATATATATATATATATATATATATATATATATATATATATATATATATATATATATATATATATATATATATATATATATATATATATATATATATATATATATATATTCTGGAAATTATATTTGTTATTTGCCGAATTTAAATTACCGTTATTGATTTTATTTTAATTGAGGTATGCAGTTCTGCCTTCGTCCTCTTTCTTAAAAGTAACGTCGGATTTGATCAACTGCTGTTTCAAATAATTGCTTCAATTAAATTGGATTTAAGACAGAAATTTTTTCTTTTCTCTTTTGCCCTGTGTATTTTCACAGCAGTTCAGGTTGGCAGTCGGTATGAAAGGCGAGTTGCCGTGTGTGAAAAGAAGGAATTGTTTTTTTAAGCGCTATTAAGGGGACAGTATCACTCAGACTAGGGGAGATAAACTTTAAAATTCGCCATATCTGATATACACAATTTCAAATTGTTACAGATTAGTTATGATTCTTTTTATAATATAGTATCAATTTCTGATGTGTTTATAAAGTAAAAAAGTTTTTAAAAAGCATTTTAATCTTATGTTTCGAATTTGTCACTCAATTATAAACAAGATTTTAAAACCTTAATCAAAATAATGAAATGTCAGCATTTAGGTTTTAACAGACTATTCATGGACGTTAAAAATTACTCCAAAGATATTCTCTTTACTGTTCTCGTTAAAGAAAAATATATTTTTTATATATATTTCCTACTATTCGTTCGCCACATTCACATAACCTAGGGGTTGGCAACATGCGGCTCGCGAGCCGCATGCGGCTCTTTTGGTGTCCAGTTGCGGCTCTTCAGCTCCATGCACAAATATTTATTTTATTTTATTTCCAAAACTCATAAAATTAATACTTTGCAACACTCGGTAATAAAAGGCATAACAATATATATAAACAAAAAACATTCACTATCATATTATAATATTTAGTTACTCCCTATCTCAGTGTACTTCCTATTACATTGTCCATTCCGAATTGAAAAATTCAACTTCAGAGTGGATATCACATAGAAACTAAACCAGCTACTGAGCTAAGTGTAAAACTGAATGGAAAATCTAGCTTATGTCTTGTTTGAAAAGATGGTTTGTTTCGAGAACAAATAATTTTTTTTTTGTTGAATACATGATGAGCAGTAAATTACTTAATTACGAAAAATCTGAAAAAATATCGTTATAATACCAATGCTTCTATTCAATCACTTCAGCATTAATATAAACAAAATGAAGGTTGTTTTCAATGAGAGATTTGAGCTGTTCAAAACAAACACCCTGACTTACATACTAGATCCTCTAAACACAAATTCAAATGAGAGTATCTCATATATTCAAAGCTATTTATTTTAAATTATATATATATATATATATGTATATATATATATATATATATATATATATATATATATATATATATATATATATATATATATATATATATATATTTATATATATATATATATATAGTATGATATTTGTTTAGTATTATATATATACTAAACAAATATACTATTGACATAAAATGTTTGTGGCTCTTTAAAAACCGGGTAATGTTGTAAATTGTAACTTTTGGCTCTTTCGCCTCAAAAGGTTGCCGACCCCTGAACCCGTTTCAGCTTTCATCACACCCTCCTGCCCCCCGCCCCTAAACCCCATATCATATTGCCCCCATAACTGAATCCCCTTCGTCCCCATTACCCTACCCATGTTGAAATACAATATTAAATACTGGGGATGATGTTTTATCAAAATAAATGTCTAAAAACAAAGAGAAATATATATATAAAAAAAAATAAGTCAAAGAGAAAATATTGTTAAAAAAAAAATTAAAATTTTAAAACAAAATTTTCCAATGGAAAATAAAATATTGTTAATGTGCAACAAAATTTCATGAAATTTTGACAGATTTCATCGGTTTACACCTCAGTACTTCATCATGTACGGAGTATAGGGGACTTTTTTTAATCGGGCAAAAAATATTAATGCATATTTATATTTGTTATTATATATTTTGTTTCCCTAACGTGAGTCAGGTACGCATCAGAGCTGGGTGGACTCAGGGAGATCCAGCAGTCTCGAGTCTGAACTCATAACCCTCGGGCTAGCAGTCAAACGCTCTACCATTCGACCACCCTGTTCCAATTTTAACATTGGTTGTAAATTAACACGTATTAATTACGTGTACTGTTTCACTTTCTGTTATTTGAATCTTCGTACAGCATAATATTCATCTTTCAATCCTTACAATTCGTGTGTAAAACGTTCCATTTCGTGTGAAAAACGTTCCATTTCGTGTGTAAAACGTTCCATTTCGTGTGTAAAACGTTACAACTCCCGTGTAAAACGTTACAACTCCCGATAAAACTTTACAACTCGTGTGTAAAACTCGTGTGTAAAACGTTACAACTCGTGTGTAGAACATACAGCTCCCGTGTAAAATGTTACAACTCCCGATAAAACTTTACAACTCGTGTGTAAAACGTTACAACTCGTGTGTAAAACTCGTGTGTAAAACGTTACAACTCGTGTGTAAAACTTGTGTTTAAAACGTTACAACTCGTGTGTAAAACTTGTGTTTAAAACGTTACAACTCGTGTGTAAAACGTTACAACTCGTGTGTAAAACGTTACAACTCGTGTGTAAAGCTCGTGTTTAAAACGTTACAACTCGTGTGTAAAACTCGTGTGTAAAACGTTACAACCTGTGTGTAAAACTTGTGTGTAAAACGTTACAACTCGTGTGTAAAACTTGTGTGTAAAACGTTACAACTCGTGTGTAAATGTAAAACGTTACAACTCGTGTGTAAAACGTTACAACTCGTGTGTAAAACTTGTGTGTAAAACGTTACAACTCGTGTGTAAAACTTGTGTGTAAAACGTTACAACTCGTGTGTAAAACGTTACAACTCGTGTGTAAAACGTTACAACTCGTGTGTAAAACGTTACAACTCGTGTGTAAAACGTTACAACTCGTGTGTAAAACGTTACAACTCGTGTGTAAAACGTTACAACTCGTGTGTAAAGCTCGTGTTTAAAACGTTACAACTCGTGTGTAAAACTCGTGTGTAAAACGTTACAACTCGTGTGTAAAACTTGTGTGTAAAACGTTACAACTCGTGTGTAAAACTTGTGTGTAAAACGTTACATTTCATGTGTAAAACGTTACATTTCATGTGTAAAACGTTACAACTCGTGTGTAAAACTCGTGTGTAAAACGTTACAACTCGTGTGTAAAACGTTACAACTCGTGTGTAAAAACTTGACCCTCTTACAGGAGTGGAGTGACGAGAAGCTGAAGTGGAACATCAGCGACTACAACAACATCACGGTCCTTAGAATACCTTGTGACTTCATCTGGTTGCCGGACATTGTCCTGTATAACAGGTAATTTGTGGTTAAAGGTAACTTTTATACCAATAACAGGTAACTTGTGCTTAAAGGTAACTTTTATACCAATAACAGGTAACTTGTGCTTAAAGGTAACTTTTATACTTTTATACCAATAACAGGTAACTTGGGGTTAAAGGTAACTTTTATACCAATAACAGGTAACTTGTGCTTAAAGGTAACTTTTATGCTTTTATACCAATAACAGGTAACTTGTTCTTAAAGGTAACTTTTATACCAATAACAGGTAACTTGGGGTTAAAGGTAACTTTTATACCAATAACAGGTAACTTGTGCTTAAAGGTAACTTTTATGCTTTTATACCAATAACAGGTAACTTGTTCTTAAAGGTAACTTTTATACCAATAACAGGTAACTTGTGCTTAAAGGTAACTTTTATACCAATAACAGGTAACTTGTGCTTAAAGGTAACTTTTATACTTTTATACCAATAACAGGTAACTTGGGGTTAAAGGTAACTTTTATACCAATAACAGGTATCGTGTTGTTAGGTAAATTATTACAATTCTTCTCTAAAAGAGTATATATATTTGAAACTCATCTCTTTGAATTGTATACTGTTTCTTCTTCTTTTTCGTTCTTAATCGTAATCTTGGAAGGAAGGAATTTCCTCCAACACAATTAAGCATTAGCTGTCAACTTGTCATGCGCCATATAGGCCGTTGTCTTCGATAGTATAGTATTACACTCTCCTGCAATAACTTGTAATCAAAAGTTATGTAATTCACTTATGTATGCATACGTATGACCAATTGACACACACTTCTAATACTTGTGTTTGAGACTGCGGGCATTTTACTTGTATAATCGCCTGTCCTATCTGTTTGCATACAGTATTGCTATGTTAGTGAAGATTTATTTAATTACTAGGCATTCTGCCTAGCTTCGCTTAGGTTTTCAAAAACATTTGATAATTTGAATACTAATTATTTGGTGATGGATGAGGCGTGGTGTTCTTAAATCTAAACAGTAATGCTAATTTTAGAGAAGATTTCTGTTGTATGTTGTTTAATATCCGCTTTCAGAGAAAAAATTCGAAAGTACGCAATTTATAACTAAAATGGAAATAGAACTACAGAGGTTCCATAAACAGTATATCTCACAATTTATATTACATTGACTTATAAAATTATTTTTTTATTTAATTATAATACGTAGCTTAATTAACAACGTATTTTTTTTTTAAAACAAATGCTATACTTTGTCGACTTTTGTTTCTGTTTAAAATAGTATACAATTATTTGAAAAATAATTATTTAAAAAGGTTACCTCCCTTGAAAATTAACCGAATGACGTATGTCTGTGTTTACTTTTTTTTAAACAAAGTTACTATTCTTATATAAGAAAATACGATATATAAACACATTTAATGACTACAATGGCTTTTTCCGACGGGAAAAAGTTTTTTTGTTACCCTCCAGGGTCGGTCTACGACCTCAAATAATATTAAGGGGATCGATCGTCAATTTATTTATATATATATATATATCTCATATAAGGAGAATTTCACTCGCGGTCATCTTTTAGCACTGGTCGAGGGCTTTGAGTCTGACCAACAGTTTTTCCATACGGCCTAGTCATCTATAGAAGTGTATTCAAAACATTTGCATGATGTACAGAGGTTAAGTAGCGTAACAATTGTGTTGAAATTACCCTGTTTTTCCCATAAAATACAAAGATTATATAGGGAAATACGACTGGTCAGTTTTGACCCCTTTACGAAGTTTTCCCAGATATGCCGAGTTTTTTGTGACACCCAAAGGCGTTCTCCTACCACCTCACAAAATATCAAGGGGGGTCGTCGGAGGAAATTTTTTTTCGTAATAGAGCTCATATAAAGAGAATTTCACTCGCGGTCACTTTTTAGCCCTCGTCGAGAGCTTTGAGTGAAACCGACAGTTTTCCCTAAAGGTCAAGCCATTTACCTAAAAGTATGCAAAAAATTAGCCAGATATACTGAGATTAAGTACCCTAAAGTCTGCGTTGAAATGACCCTATGTTTTTCACATAAAATACAAAGATTATATAGGGAAATTCGACTGGTCAGTTTTGACCCATTTACGAAGTTTTCCCAGATATGCCGAGTTTTTTATGACACCCCAAGGCGTTCTCCTACCACCTCACAAAATATCAAGGGGGGTCGTCGGAGGAAATTTGTTTTCGTAATATAGCTCATATAAAGATAATTTCACTCGCGGTCAAATTTTAGCCCTCGTCGAGGGCTTTGAGTCAAACCGACAGTTTTCCCTAAAGGTCAAGCCATTTACCTAAATGTATGCCAAAAATTAGCCAGATATACTGAGTTTAAGTACCCTAAAGTCTGCGTTGAAATGACCCTTTGTTTTTCCCATAAAATACAAAGATTATATAGGGAAATACGACTGGTCCGTTTTGACCCCTTTACAAAGTTTTCCCAGATATGCCGAGTTTTTTGTGACACCCCAAGGCGTTCTCCTACCACCTCACAAAATATCAAGGGGGGTCGTCGGAGGAATTTTTTTTTCGTAATATAGCTCATATAAAGAGAATTTCACTCGCGGTCACATTTTAGCCCTCGTCGAGGGCTTTGAGTCAAACCGACAGTTTTCCCTAAAGGTCAAGCCATTTACCTAAATGTATGCAAAAAATTAGCCAGATATACTGAGTTTAATTACCCTAAAATCCGCGTTGAAATGACCCTATGTTTTTCCCATATAATACAAAGATTATATAGGGAAATACGACTGGTCAGTTTTGACCCCTTTACGAAGTTTTCCCAGATATGCCGAGTTTTTTGTGACACCCCAAGGCGTTCTCCTACCACCTCACAAAATTTCAAGGGGGGTCGTCGGAGGAAAAGTTTTTTCGTAATAGAGCTCATATAAAGAGAATTTTACTCGGGGTCACTTTTTAGCCCTCGTCGAGGGCTTTGAGTCAAACCAACAATTTTTCCTAAAGGTCAAGCCATTTATCTAAGAGTATGCAAAAAATTAGCCAGATGTAAAGAGGGTAAGTGCCCTAAAAGCCGTTTTCAAATGACCCTCTGTTTTTCCCATAAAATACAAAGATTATATAGGGAAATACAACTGGTCAGTTTTGACCCCTTTACGAAGTTTTCCCAGATATGCCGAGTTTTTTGTGACACCCCAAGGCGTTCTCCTACCACCTCACAAAATATCAAGGGGGGTCGTCGGAGGAAATTTTTTTTCGTAATAGAGCTCATATAAAGAGAATTTCACTCGCGGTCACTTTTTAGACCTCGTCGAGGGCTTTGAGTCAAACCGACAGTTTTCCCTAAAGGTCAAGCCATTTACCTAAGAGTATGCAAAAAATTAGCCAGATGTAAAGAGGGTAAGTGCCCTAAAAGCCGTTTTCAAATGACCCTCTGTTTTTCCCATAAAATACAAAGATTATATAGGGAAATACAACTGGTCAGTTCTGACCCCTTTACGAAGTTTTCCCAGATATGCCGAGTTTTTTGTGACACCCCAAGGCGTTCTCCTACCACCTCACAAAATATCAAGGGGGGTCGTCGGAGGAAAATTTTTTTCGTAATAGAGCTCATATAAAGAGAATTTCACTCGCGGTCACTTTTTAGCCCTCGTCGAGGGCTTTGAGTCAAACCGACAGTTTTCCCTAAAGGTCAAGCCATTTACCTAAGAGTATGCAAAAAATTAGCCAGATGTAAAGAGGGTAAGTGCCCTAAAAGCCGTTTTCAAATGACCCTCTGTTTTTCCCATAAAATACAAAGATTATATAGGGAAATACAACTGGTCAGTTTTGACCCCTTTACGAAGTTTTCCCATATATGCCGAGTTTTTTGTGACACCGCAAGGTGTTCTCCTACCACCTCACAAAATTTCAAGGGGGGTCGTCGGAGGAAATTTTTTTTCGTAATAGAGCTCATATAAAGAGAATTTCACTCGCGGTCACATTTTAGCCCTCGTCGAGGACTTTGAGTGAGACCGACAGGTCTGCCCTACGGTCAAGCCATTTTTCTACAAACATGCCAAAAATTAGCCAGATGTAAAGAGGGTAAGTGCCATAAAATCCGTTTTGAAATGACCCTCCGTTTTTCAAATAAAATACAAAGATTATAAAGGGAAATACGACTGGTCAGTTTTGACCCTTTTCCCGATTTTTTCCGGACATGGCGAGTTTTTTGTGACACCCCAAGGCGTTCTCCTACCACCTCACAAAATATCAAGGGGGGTCGTCGGAGGAAATTTTTTTTCGTAATAGAGCTCATATAAAGAGAATTTCACTCGCGGTCACTTTTTAGCCCTCGTCGAGGGCTTTGAGTCAAACCGACAGGTCTGCCCTACGGTCAAGCCATTTACCTATAAACATTCCAAAAATTAGCCAGATGTAAACAGGGTAAGTTCCCTAAAATCCGTTTTGAAATGACCCTCTGTTTTTCCCATAAAATACAAAGATTATATAGGGAAATACGACTGGTCAGTTTTGACCCATTTCCCGATTTTTCCCGGACATGGCGAGTTTTTTGTGACACCCCAAGGCGTTCTCCTACCACCTCACAAAATATCAAGGGGGGTCGTCGGAGGAAAATTTTTTTCGTAATAGAGCTCATATAAAGAGAATTTCACTCGCGGTCACTTTTTAGCCCTCGTCGAGGGCTTTGAGTCAAACCGACAGGTCTGCCCTACGGTCAAGCCATTTACCTATAAACATTCCAAAAATTAGCCAGATGTAAAGAGGGTAAGTGCCCTAAAAGCCGTTTTCAAATGACCCTCTGTTTTTCCCATAAAATACAAAGATTATATAGGGAAATACGACTGGTCAGTTTTGACCCATTTCCTGATTTTTCCCGGACATGGCGAGTTTTTTGTGACACCCCAAGGCGTTCTCCTACCACCTCACAAAATATCAAGGGGGGTCGTCGGAGGAAATTTTTTTTCGTAATAGAGCTCATATAAAGAGAATTTCACTCGCGGTCACTTTTTAGCCCTCGTCGAGGGCTTTGAGTCAAACCGACAGGTCTGCCCTACGGTCAAGCCATTTACCTATAAACATGCCAAAAATTAACCAGATGTAAACAGGGTAAGTGCCCTAAAATCCGTTTTGAAATGACCCTCTGTTTTTCCCATAAAATACAAAGATTATATAGGGAATTACGACTGGTCAGTTTTGACCCATTTCCCGATTTTTCCCGGACATGGCGAGTTTTTTGTGACACCCCAAGGCGTTCTTCTACCACCTCACGAAATTTCAAGGGGGGTCGTCGGAGGAAATTTTTTTTCGTAATATAACCCATATAAGGCGCCGGTCAGTCGAGGTCCGTTTTGACCCCCTCTCCGTAGACTTTTCGGCCAACCGTCACCGGCCTTCGTGTTCTATAGCCGGAAGGCACCATCGTGCCAAATTTGACGCGCCTGCGGCGCCGGGAAGTGCCCTATCGGGCACCTGACCACTTTGCTTTATATATATAGATTTTATATTTTCTTGCATGACCTAACATTTGTTAAATTAATTAAAATTCATCAAGTTGATTAGTGGTACTACGAAGACAATATTATTTAATTAAAATTGTATTTTCTAAACTGAAGCTGCGAAAAATTTAGCCGAATTCTGCAGTAATTGAGAAGAGCGGCATATGAACGAGAAACCTTCCTGTTTACAAGAGTTTACAATTTTCTGTGTTTAGATATGGAATGACATGCCTACAAAACCTGCCCACTCGCACTTCCCCGCTCCCAGTAATTCCTCCGAAAACGTGCCTTCTGCTGAGTAAAGTTTTTAATGCATATCAATAATTTATCTCTTTACAGCTAAATTACCCTCCATCAGATCAGTAATACCCCCAATTATTACATCGAATGGAGAAGATTATGTTTTCTCTTTAACAAGGCATTGAATTTTCTGCCAGATTGTTAAAAGGAATCTCGATTTTTTTTTATTTGGCCCTTATTTTTTTCCCCTACTTAAAATATTTTTTAATACCTCAGATAACATAATACATCAGAGTTCATACACTTTTACAGTGCTATGTTTTATTTTCGTTTATTTTTATTTTATTTTTGACGAATAACAACATAGTTGACTTGCCTTTAGGGGGTCGACGTGGTCGAACCCTCGGGCAGATGAGGCTCCATAGATGGAGACAGCAACTCATCAAGGAGAGACAACTCCAAAATCAAACAACTGCTGCCTTGTGGTTTGTTCTTGGTTGGACATATTCTATGGAAGCAAATTCAAAAGAAAAGCAGGCTGAAATCGGAGTCAATGGCCTCAATGGCGCTTACCATGGTGACATAATAATATGATATATAATTGTGTTGGATGGGGTCCTGTCAAACGTTACAATTAGTAACCCAGTAGCTTAGATCCTGATACAACTTTTGTTTTCCCTGTGTACCCAGTCACAGACCGTGATACAACTTTTGTTTTCCCTGTGTACCCAGTCACAGACCGTGATACAACTTTTGTTTTCCCTGTCCCCAGGTTTAAGTACCCATTCACAGATCGTGATACAACTTTTGTTTTCCCTGTGTACCCAGTCACAGAACGTGATACAACTTTTGTTTTCCCTGTGTACCCAGTAACAGATCATGATACAACTTTTGTTTTCCCTGTTTACCCAGTCACAGATCGTGATACAACTTTTGTTTTCTCTGTGTACCCTGTAACAGATCGTGATACAACTTTTGTTTTCCCTGTGTACCCAGTCACAGATCGTGATACAACTTTTGTTTTCCCTGTGTACCCAGTCACAGAACGTGATACAACTTTTGTTTTCTCTGTGTACCCAGTAACTTAGATGTGATACATTTTTTTTGTTTTCCCTGTGTACCCAGTAACTTAGATGTGATGCATTTTTTTTGTCTTCACTGTGTACCCAGTAACAGATCGTGATACAACTTTTGTTTTCCCTGTGTACCCAGTCACAGATCGTAATACAACTTTTGTTTTCCCTGTGTACCCAGTAACAGACCGTGATACAACTTTTGTTTTCCCTGTGTACCCAGTCACAGATCGTGATACAACTTTTGTTTTCCCTGTGTACCCAGTCACAGATCGTGATACAACTTTTGTTTTCCCTGTGTACCCAGTAACATCATGACACAACTTTTGTTTTCTCTGTGTACCCAGTAACAGATGGTGATACAACTTTTGTTTTCCCTGTGTACCCAGTAACATCATGACACAACTTTTGTTTTCCCTGTGTACCCAGTAACATCATGACACAACTTTTGTTTTCCCTGTCCCCAGTGTAGACAACCACAACAAAGGCTATATGAAGAGCCTCGCTATGGTGCACAACGACGGTAAAGTTTTCTGGCCACCCATCGTGCGCATGCGTAGTTCGTGTAAGATGGACATCACCTTCTTCCCTTTTGACGACCAGCTGTGTGATTTGATTCTAGGTTCATGGGCTTATGACGGCTTGCAGGTAGGTGGGGGTGGGGTGTGTGTGGATGTGCGGGTGGGGGTGGGGGTGGGGGTATTGTGAGACCCAATTCTAGGTTTCTGTGCTTATGACGGTTTGTAGGTAGGTGGGTGGGTGGGTGTGTGTGTGTTTGGGGGGGGGGGGTCTTAGAAGACATGATCCTAGACTCTTTGACTTAAGGTGTCTTGCAGATAGTGGGACGTCTTGTCTGCTTCTAACAGCTTGGCTCGCAGAAAGATGAGTCTTTCATAGTTTTAAAATTATTTTGTAAAATTGTAATGATTTTACTAACCCTTCTTTTTCAACTTATGACATATTTCAAAGCAAATTTATAAACTAACGATTAACATAAAACCCCCTTTGTTGTTAGTGAATTGTAAACCACTCTCAAAATGTTAATTGTACATCATTAAACAAAACTAATTATACAAAATTCTAAAAGTTCAAGGATATAGGCCTACAGGTTGTTAACATATGTTGTAAAATTTTCAATACGTATTTTGTCATTCGCTCAATAAAATTAAAATTGTATAGCTGGATAAGGGAGGGCATTCAGATTGAAATATTTAATTAAAACATTATACCGTTGCTCCGAGCTGACTTGATGGGATTCGAACCCTGTGCTCTAGAGTGGGGTATGCCCTTTATAATTCAAATCGTCCTTCAGGCCTGTTCTGTTTGCACAAGGTAACAAGTTTAACAACATAAACATCCCATGCATTCTCCTCGATATGCAAATTGGAAATGTCAATATGGGGGCTTGTGGAGAATGTCCTAGCGTTTAATTAAGTTAATAGAGCTGAATGCGTTTCTATGGGCGGTTATGGTTAGGGTTCTGTGGGGGGTTATGGTTAGGGTTCTATGGGGGGTTATGGTTAGGGTTCTGTGGGCGGTTATGGTTAGGGTTGTGTGGGGCCTTCATGGTTAGGGTTCTATTTTGCAGTTTGTGTTAGGGTATGTCGGGCGGTTATGGTTAGGGTTCTATGGGGCGGTTATGGTTAGGGTTCTGTGGGGGGTTATGGCTATGGTTGTGTTGGGCGTTTAATTTTAGGATTTTGTGGGGGGGGGGTTATGGTTAGGGTTCTGTGGGGTTATGGTTATGGTTCTGTGGGGTGGTTATGGTTAGGGTTCTGTGGGGTGGTTATGGTTAGGGATGTGTGGGGTGGTTATGGTTAGGGTTCTATGGGGCGGTTATGCTTAGGGTTCTATGGGGGGTTATGGTTAGGGTTCTATGGGGGGTTATGGTTAGGGTTCTATGGGGGGTTATGGTTAGGGTTCTATGAGGGGTTATGGTTAGGGTTCTATGAGGGGTTATGGTTAGGGTTCTGTGGGCGGCTATGGTTAGGGTTCTATGGGGGGTTATGGTTAGGGTTCTATGGGGGGTTATGGTTAGGGTTCTATGGGGGGTTATGGTTAGGGTTCTATGAGGGGTTATGGTTAGGGTTCTGTGGGCGGCTATGGTTAGGGTTCTATGGGGGGTTATGGTTAGGGTTCTATGGGGGGTTATGGTTAGGGATGTGTGGGGTGGTTATGGTTAGGGTTCTGTGGGGGTGGTTATGGTTAGGGATGTGTGGGGTGGTTATGGTTAGGGTTCTGTTGGGGGTTATGGTTAGGGTTCTATGGGGCGGTTATGGTTAGGGTTCTGTGGGGTGGTTATGGTTAGGGTTCTATGGGGCGGTTATGGTTAGGGATGTGTGGGGTGGTTATGGTTAGGGTTGTGTGGGGCGGTGGTGGTTATGGTTCTATGGGGGGTTATGGTTAGGGTTCTGTTGGGGGTTATGGTTAGGGTTCTGTGGCGATTATGGTTAGGGTTCTGTGCGTATAATGTGCGGATAAGATCAGGGCGTTTTAGCTATTCTTTGTATGATATTGACACAACTCATGAAATATGATTCAACTATAGTTAGTGGGTGAGGGATAGAGGAGGAAGTAAACATATTCAAAATATGCAATAAGCAGAACTTGAGTTCTTATATTATTCCTACAAATGTGTTCTAACCTTGAGTGCATAATTTTCAGGAAACTTTTCGTGTTTGAGTAATTTCAGATTTTTTATAAAATAATTAACAAGCGGCATATTTATTATTTTTTTTATTTTATAGACGTGGAAAATAAATATCTTATAGATCAACAACAAAAATTCCTGTTTGCTTAATGAGTCTTACGTTGTGATCACTATGGATTATAATGTCTAACACTTAAGATTAATCGTATTTTACATCAAAAGGTATTTTCTAAAATGATGTGCTATTATTATCGTCTTGCTTATAGTGTTTTGACATGGTAGATTTACTAAGACTATCACTGAGCATCGATAGGGCCATGTTAAGATAATATTTAGAACCGCTGAATAAAGAATTCACGGAAGGTCGTCCTAAGAATTCCCCGAGCCCAATTTAGATTGGAATCGTCTTTTATTCACGTGCACGGTGAAAGGGTGGGTCTGGCCGGGAATTTCGTCCTCCAAGAGTAAACATAATATGCCTCGAGGGTGGGGGTGGTGGAGGAATTTGGGAGGGGGGGGGGGGGGTAAGGGAAATATTTTGGGAGGATTTTCAATTATGTTCTCACATTTAGCTGTCCTTGGTAAATAATTCTCATATATATATATATATATATATATATATATTTATATATATATATATATATATATATATATATATATATGTATATATATATATATATATATATATATATATATATATATATATATATATATATATATATATATATATATATATGTATATATGTATATATATATATATGTATATATATATATATATATATATATATATATATATATATATATATATATATATATATATATATATATATATATATATATATATATATATATATATATATATAATTTGTTTTCAACGAAGACAGGATTTCCTATGCAAACATGGATGGAAAACATACATGCCTTTTCAACTGACTGCTATTTTGTTGTGTCTTAGTTTCGGTTTTGCGTTGATGGATTTTTCTTACAAAAAATTTTTTTGCCCAAAAATAAATAAAAAACCAATTTAGCTTTTGGAAGAATATTTACAAAACCTAACGTCATGTTAGGCATACACCATATGCATGTTAAAATGTAAAACTATGTAAAACAGACCATATGATCTGTTTTCACTTTTCCTGGAATGTATAGCCTGTGCACCAAATTTTCCTTCTCGTTATTTCTCCTGTGGGGTAATCATAAGTGACGGCACGCGATTTTCGCATATATTAACCTCCCACCCCCCTTCGCCGGTTTCCCTATATACACCCCCAACCCCTGGTACAGATATACATAAAGGAAATGGCTTTATTCTCTATGGTAGGTGGCTAATTTTTTCCCCGCTATTTTACATTGAAAGATAAATCATGTCCCTATCCGTACACACTAGGATAAATTCTGTCCCTATCCTTACACACTAGGATCAATCCGGTTCACAACCCTACACACTAGGATAAAACCTAACAACTGTGTCCTAACAACTGTGTCCTACCAACTGTGTCCTACCAACTGTGTCCTACCAACTGTGTCCTACCAACTGTGTCCTAACAACCGTGTCCTACCAACTGTGTCCTACCAACTGTGTCCTACCAACTGTGTCCTCACAACAACTGTGTCCTACCAACTGTGTCCTACCAACTGTGTCCTACCAACTGTGTCCTACCAACTGTGTCCTAACAACTGTGTCCTACCAACTGTGTCCTACCAACTGTGTCCTAACAACTGTGTCCTACCAACTGTGTCCTACCAACTGTGTCCTACCAACTGTGTCCTAACAACCGTGTCCTAACAACTGTGTCCTCACAACAACTGTGTCCTCACAACAACTGTGTCCTACCAACTGTGTCCTACCAACTGTGTCTACCAACTGTGTCCTACCAACTATGTCCTAACAACTGTGTCCTAACAACTGTGTCCTACCAACTGTGTCCTAACAACTGTGTCCTAACAACTGTGTCCTAACAACTGTGTCCTACCAACTGTGTCCTACCAACTGTGTCCTAACAACCGTGTCCTACCAACTGTGTCCTACCAACTGTGTCCTACCAACTGTGTCCTACCAACTGTGTCCTAACAACCGTGTCCTAACAACTGTGTCCTCACAACAACTGTGTCCTACCAACTGTGTCCTACCAACTGTGTCTACCAACTGTGTCCTACCAACTATGTCCTAACAACTGTGTCCTAACAACTGTGTCCTACCAACTGTGTCTACCAACTGTGTCCTACCAACTATGTCCTAACAACTGTGTCCTAACAACAACTATGTCCTAACAACTGTGTCCTCACAACAACTGTGTCCTACCAACTGTGTCCTACCAACTGTGTCCTACCAACTGTGTCCTACCAACAGTGTCCTACCAACTGTGTCCTACCAACAGTGTCCTACCAACTGTGTCCTACCAACTGTGTCCTACCAACTGTGTCCTACCAACTGTGTCCTACAAACTGTGTCCTACCAACTGTGTCCTACCAACAGTGTCCTACTAACTATGTCCTACCAACTGTGTCCAACCAACTGTGTCCTACCAACTGTGTCCTACCAACTGTGTCCTACTAACTATGTCCTACCAACTGTGTCCAACCAACTGTGTCCTACCAACTGTGTCCTACCAACTGTGTCCTACCAACCGTGTCCTAACACCTGTGTCCTACATCTGTCCCAGGTGGATGTGACCAACAGATCTGAGAACGTTGACCTCTCCAACTACGTGGACAACGGCGAGTGGGAGCTGCTAGGGACAAAGATCGTCCGACGGACCAGGTACTACACCTGCTGCCCGGAGCCGTACTATGACGTCACCTTCTACATCATGGTAAGCTGGTGGTCCAGTGAGTCACTTTTTTCATGAGTCAAGTGGTTCATAATCTTGGGGTCTAGTGGGTCACTTTTTCCATGTCACATAAAAAATGTCATGTTTTTTACACTAGTCACATGACCCAAAAGCTGGGGGAGGGGGTGTTCAGTGAGTCACTTTTTTTTTGAGTCACGTAATCCATAATCTGGGGGTCCAGTGGGTCACTTTTTTCGTGTCACAAAAAAGGGTCGTGTTTTTTTTTTTGTTTACACTAATCACGTGATCCATAAGCTGTAGGTCTACAGGGTCACCAATCACGTGACCTGATTACATTCAGTATCACACGACTGGATATACCATCGCGGTACTTAACCGGCTACCTATGTGGTAAAGGTACTCAGAGGCGTAGCGAGGGGGGGGGCGGGGGGGGGGACATATGTCCCCGGGCGCCGACCTTAGGGGGGGGCGCCAAATTGAAAGTTTGAGGGGGGGGGTGCAAATGAAAAGTTCGACGGGGGGGGTGCAAATCGAAAGTTTGAGCGGGGGGTGCAAATGAAAAGTTCGAGGGGGGGTGCAAATCGAAAGTTCGAGGGGGGGTGCAAATGAAAAGTTCGAGGGGGGGGGGTGCAAATCGAAAATTTGCTCCCGAGGGGGGCGCCAAATTGAAAGTATGTCCCCGGGCGCCGGGAAGGGTCGCTACGCCTCTGAAGGTACTAACCGGCTATTTCAGCGTGGTGTTGGCGTCGCTTCATCTACGTGTCGACCACCCAGGTGACTTATTTAAGATTAAATACTGTATCAAGTGCAAGCATGAAGAGCATGAAGGGTTAAAAACAATTCGCTCCTCTTGTTTGTACCTAAACACAAGTGTTTCTTCCAGGCATCTCTTCGGCTCTGTTCCGCCCCCCTCCCACAGAAAAACGTCTACCGCCCCCCCCCCCCTCGAACGAAATTTATATAGAAAATATATACTTTTACCAGTGCCCCCCCCCCCTCCCGAAAATTTCAAGTACCGAGGGGGGGTGCAAATCGAAAGTTTGAGGGGGGGTGCAAATGAAAAGTTCGAGGGGGGGGGGGGTGCAAATCGAAAATTTGCTCCCGAGGGGGGCGCCAAATTGAAAGTATGTCCCCGGGCGCCGGGAAGGGTCGCTACGCCTCTGATTAGGTACTAACCGGTTATTTCAGCAGGGTGTTCGCGTCGCTTCATCTACGTGTCGACCACCCAGGTGACTTATTTAAGATTAAATACTGTATCAAGTGCAAGCATGAAGAGCATGAAGGGTTAAAAACAATTCGCTCCTCTTGTTTGTACCTAAACACAAGTGTTTCTTCCAGGCATCTCTTCGGCTCTGTTCCGCCCCCCTCCCACAGAAAAACGTCTACCGCCCCCCCCCCCCCCCCCCTCGAACGAAATTTATATAGAAAATATATACTTTTACCAGTGCCCCCCCCCCCCCCCCTCCCGAAAATTTCAAGTACCGCCCCGGAGAAAAAAGTCTGAAATAAACACCGCTAATCATTAGCTCCAATCTTGGATTCGAAAGGGGTTGAAAATCTTCTTCCTTTCTAGCCAAATCTTGAAACAAAATTTACATTAAAATATATGGTGTCGAATTTCGGTTGAAATATTAACATTTGCTTTCTTTTAACGATATCTGTAACATGGAAAACATGCGTGTTAAGGGTGTAAAGAAACTATTTGCTGATACACTGCTACTTTCCTGTCCGCTCACCTTGGCTCTAAACGAGACCATCTGGACTTTCTGTTTAAATTTTAAAGTTTAACAGTTTTATTTCAACTCAAGAAAACGTTTCAAATCTTTGGCTTTTCGAAGACAGATTGTCGGCTGAATTTTTATTTATTTTTTTCGTTACAGTGCGCCATATTTTTACTCAACTTGTCAAAATTAATATTTTTTCAATTTAAAAAAAGTAATGTCTTTTAAATGCGCTTGTGGGAAATTTTTTCGTTTTTTTTACCAGGTTCCGTACATTTTTAGCACACTCTATCGTCAGTTCTTCCGCTTGTTTATCGGCATGCTTTACTACGAACCAGCAGATCTTATCATGTTTAATGATATCTTAAATCTTATCAGGTTTAATTATAGCTCAATTTTCCAAATTAATTATTATTTGGCTTTTAAGAGTGAACTTTTACAAGGAAATTATCCAATATTAAACACGATCGATTAGGGTAACAAATAATAAACGATAAAACCGATTCTAAATTAATATAAATAAGAAATCTAATAATTTAAATGGTCTACTTTCTACAAATTATGCTACCGTCCATTGACTCTAATAATTTAAATGGTCTACTTTCTACAAATTATGCTACCGTCCATTGACTCCACCCCCCCCCCCCCCCACCCCCACCAACCCTGAAATAAAGCATAAACCCAACACCCGGTCTACATCTGTTTGTTTTGCCCCCTTTACTGTTGTTTACGTTAGCACAGGTGCTGGAACAAAATATCAACACAGGTAAACACTTCCCTGAAATATGGTTTAGTTTTCATAGTTAAACTCATCTATAACAAAAATAAATAAATCATTTTAACTAATACACTGCTTGCATATGACGTCAGGGATCAGTTACTATGTAAACATCCGCCATGATGGTGCACCTTCAAAACTATAATCTCCGCTGTGAAAGGTTGTAGATGTACTAACGAAGTGGAATTTCTAAATGAATTTCAATATTTCGGCTGACAAAACTTATATTACACCAAGGTGAAAGAGGTCGACAGTTAACAGAACGCGGACAGTTTTAGAAAACATCGAACTTAGTTCTAGAAATAAAGTAAAGATTCCAATAAAATGTGTTGGTTTAAATTGAAGATTAAACTAAAGCCAGTTTTTTTAAAAAAAAAACGTGTGATCAGAAGCTATGAATTCATCAGCCTCAATACGTTTCTAAACAAATATAAATTTCTGTTTCATTATTTACTATCGACTATAATTTTATAGTCAATCTTTATTTCCATTGAGTGTTTGACACTTAAATTACTAGCCATCTTTTGATTGTCGCTAATGGCAAAGTTCAAACAAAGGCTTTCGGGCAGTCGATGGAATAGACAATAAAACGGCAAGACTCGTTAGAATATGTTGTTGTTGTTTTTTTTTCCAAAAGCAAAAAACAAAATCATTTAAACATTAAAATTCTGCAACAGCAAAAAATCTTTGTTTGATATAGGGAAATCGAGTGAGAAAATGACAAAGGTCTGGTAATTAAATGTTTTTTTTATTAATGACGGTAAAATCGATCTTCAAATATGAAGCACGTCACAAGACTGATCAATACAGTTTATCCAGAAATATTGGCGAGCTAAGTAGGTCAACCATGTCGGCTATAATTAACTTGACATCTTCCTCAGGTTTCGGCTAATGGGGGTCATTATGACCATTTAGCTGTCGGTCAAGATATGATGAGTTTTTTTTTTTATCGCTTGCTGGGCAGTTTGAGAGCGGGTGTAATTGTTGTTTAACATGGTTTTGGTTTTGTTTGTTTGTGTTTGTAGGTTTTTTTTTTTTTGTTTTTTTTTTTACTTTTCATTCGCGTTATACTATTCAAGATCACACACATCACGTGATCATGTTCAAGATCACACACATCAAATGACCATATTCAAGATCACACACATCACGTGATCATGTTCAAGATCACACACATCACGTGATCATGTTCAAGATCACACACATCAAATGACCATATTCAAGATCACACACATCACGTGATCATGTTCAAGATCACACACATCACGTGATCATGTTCAAGATCACACACATCAAATGACCATATTCAAGATCACACACATCAAATGACCATATTCTAGCTCACATACATCACGTGAACTGCACTGTATTTACGTGATCCAACACCGACAAGACTTGATTCTAATTGAACATGACACCCAAGATGTGATCCTGTCCAAAGACACCGTTTGAACGTGACCATAGTCTTCGTGATATTAAGAACGTGATCTGTCATTGCGAGAGTTGAAATAAACATTACACAAATAACGTGATCATGTTCAACTTCACACAAACAACGTGATCATATTCAACATCAGGCAAAAGTTACAAAAGTTATGGTCAATGTCAACATAAAACTAATTACGTGAGGACTGTTCATATTGCACCAAGAACGTGACCATAGTCAACATCAGACAAATATCGTGATAACTGTCAACATTGCACCAAGAACGTGATAATTTCCAACATCACATTTTTTTTTCCATTAGCAAAAAGGTCAAAACAGAATTTGATTGGAGGGAGGGGAGAGCCCGTTTAAAGAAATGCCAAAGCAGAATAAGGGGGTGGGGGTGTTACATAAAGATAAGGTCAAGATGGGGGGGGGACCCATATAAAGAAAAGGTTAAACTATTTTACTATTGATTGACTTCCAGACGTCGTCCCCCCCCCCCTCTCCTCGGGTAAAATGTTTTCATTTATCGACCTTGTTACTTTAAAATTAAGTTATTTCTTCCCAACTTTTTTTTTTTCAAACGGTGTGAAAAAAAAAAGGCTTTTTATTTTTTTTTCCTTTTTTAGACAACGCGTGGAGGGTTGTGTAATGGTGTCGTTGAAGATGAAACTTTATTTTTAGAGGACTAACGCACCCTAGGGGCATACAGATCCCCACCCTGGGGCTGAGTTTGACTGACAGTAGCTCGGACTAATCTGCCCAAGTGTTGTGTCACTTGTCTCAGAAGCTGAAATATTTAAAACATTTTTTTTGCATCGGGGTAAGGCGACAAATGAAAGGAGTAAAAGTATAATGGTATCAGTAACAAGGGATACAGTGTTAAATTTGTGAAGTGATGGTGGAATTGTATTGTTTTTCTAACTCTAAATACACTTGGGTACGCTGTTTGAGTGTGTCTGTTTTATTCACTAGACATATAACATCAGACCACTTTACGTTTTCACTTACACCGCGGTTCTTAAAAATATTTGGCGGTACCAAACCCTACCAGTTTTAGGGGTCGCCCATAAATGAGGTCACACGTAGGGGGAGGGGGTCTGTAATTTTGTGACGGTGTGTGATGAGGGGGACGGGGTTCAGATATGTGACGTCACACTTTTTGCATTATAAAAAAGCGATGTTAGAAAAAGAGTTTTAGCCATTATTCAGCGTTTTAGAAACCTGTTTTAATAAATTGTAATAGGAATGGATTAAAGTATTCTATGTTGACAGAGTTCTGACAAGAGTTTGGAAAAAAATATCGATGTTATAAGATGTTTTGAGGGGGTTGTAGGCTGAAGTGTGACGTCATTTTATGGGACGGGGGTCTGGCTTTTTGTGACGATGTGTGACGGAGGTGAAGGGAGGTAAAAATTAAAAAAAGCTTGACGGCATTTATGGATGTGCCCCTTATACGCGCATTCACCGAACCCTTCTTGGTAATCCTATAGTCTGCACAGACAAAACCCCATCGGGAACCACATGCGTCGGTTGTGTGTCTTGAATTCCGCCGAACCCCTGAGACTGACTCAACAAACCCCAGGGGTTCGATCGAACGCAGGTTAAGAACCACTGCCTTACCCGGTCATAAGATAGGAACAATTCACTTCAGGCAGACCGGATGTATGTAGGATGATATTTCTCGAGGCCATGGGTTTTTCCTTCCAGAAGTGGTTAGGATAATTAGACGTCATGGCAGTTGATTAGGCGGAAGACCTACAGCATCGGGTCTCAGAACTGAAATAGTCGATGTTTTTCATTTATTTCGCTTTACATCTAGGTCCCGATCTATTTTTGTAATCAAAGAGAGGGTTGTTGTTTTTTTTAATGTATAGTCTAACATTAAACCAGTGTGTGTATGCGTGAGTTTGTGTTTGCGTATTCGTATTCGTACGTGTGCATGTGTGTGTGTCTGTCTGTGCGTGTGTGTGTGTGTAAGTGTGTGTGTTGTGTGTCTGTGATACATATCGGCGTCATACAGCATGTCTGATACAAGAACCAGGGATGTGGCCTGAGGTAGCAGAAGAGCAACCCCCTCCCCCATGTGTCACTGTAGGAAACGCCCCCCACCCCCATGTATCATTTTAGGAACGGCCCTCCAATGTATCACTTTAAGAACGGCCCTCCAATATATCACTTTAGGAACGGCCCTCCAATGTATCACTTTAGGAACGGCCCTCCAATGTATCACTTTAGGAACGGCCCTCCAATGTGTCACTTTAGAAGCTGCCCTCAAATGCTTCACGTTACTTTTCCTCTACAATCACAAACAAGAACGAAAGAATTTCCTAACTTTCCTGCTACATAATCATTTCAAATTATTTACCTCATCATAAGTACTCTTTTCCAAACCACTAATCGATAATGCATTACAATATTTACATGTTTGATGACTTCTTATACATAAACGTAAAAATCTAACGGAATCGAACCCAAGGTTAAAATTATAATATATAGTAACCCCTCACACTTATTTCTAGAATCGTCCAATCTTCACCACATAGATCCCCAGTGATCGCTCCTACAGCCGAACGCTTGCTCCTACCGAACCACGATACGCCATCAGTGACCTTGTGAAGTTCACTAGTCGATCAGACACACAACATAGCACGTGATCAAGATCAAGGCTTCTCAAATTATTAAACCCCTTCACCTATACGTTATCACCCCTTCCGTCTTTATCTGCGTAAATTGTATTCATCTTCTCATAAGTAACAGAATATGTGATGTCTATTTCTGATTTGAGGATACCATTCATGGAGAATGTATTGAGCAAATCTGACCAACCAGGCAACAACTTGAGAACCACTGGTGTACAATTCTGGCCAGGGACACGGCGTGAATAAATTTGTCTATTTTTAGATCCACTGGCTGGGGTGTACTCAATATTGGCCGTCCACCAATAGCGAGACAGCATGATAATATATTGGCCGTCCATGAATAGCCAGCTAAATGATAATATGCGAATATCACCCGGGTTAGAGTGTGTAAAAATATATAAATCTGAGTCGGCCCGTGGGGTGGGGGGGGGGGGGGATCATCTATGCAAACAATACTGCCTAATCAATACAACACACCAGATTTACCAAAATAATGTGTGTCGTACTCCAATTAATTTGATTGTTTTCAATATACGTCTTCAGATTGCTAGATTGACAAATGAAAGTGACTACTTTTCATATTTATTTTTTTTTTTAGTTTAAATATTTACAAAAGTTTTAACAAGAAATACACACTATTTTTTTGTTTTTTTTGCGAAAAGCTATTCAGGATGTAACATATTTTGATGAATATTAAAATTTACTTGACAATTAATTAAATTTAATCTATATTCAAACAAGTATTATAATTAAAATTGTAGAAATATATTTTACGAGAAAAATGGCCCGTTGAGGAAGGGTACAACGGGCGCTAGGCTGATAGTGCTGTCTCTTTTCTCTAAACTAAAACCAACCCACCCCCCCACACACCACCCCCACCCCACCCCCGCACCCCCACACACCACCCCCACCCCCACCACACACCACACACCACCCCCACCCCAACCCCTCACCACCACACACAACCCCCACCCCCCCACCACACACCACCCCCACCCCTCACCCCCACACACCACCCCCTCCACACACCGCCCCCCCACCCCCCCACCCCCCCAAAAAAAACATGTCTACCGTCCCATTCAACGAAAAATAATTATATACTTT